GACATTAAAACACAAAAGAWTTYRCTGGGCAGGGCCAAATTCAGGATAARATTATAAAAATTTAAAACACTGGGAGATARGACAATGTCAAACATYGGGAGGGGGGTCCGGGRATGARGAAGGATTTAATTRCACGAACCATAAATAAAGTGCTRCTGAGGTCATTTAGTGCAAAGTTTTTGGTCAGGGAGTACCTTACGTTCAATCACTGAAGGCACATTGGAATAACCAAGTTTTCAGATTCTTCCTGAAGATTGCCAGCGTAGGGGCTTGCCTAATGTCTTTGGGAAGTGAGTTCCAGAGTCGAGGGGCCACCACAGAGAAGGCTCTCTCTCTCGTCCCCGCAAGTCACACTTGTGATGCAGGCGGGAGAAAGAGAAGAGCCTCTCCAGAAAACCGAAGAGATCGTGTGGGTTCGTAAATGGAAATTCTTTATGTGAGAATTAGGCTACACTGAGGAGTTAAAAGATGACACTGGCTTCTTCACTTCTGATTTCATTTCCTCCCATGCATTTTCCCCTAGAGTCATTCTTCTTACTCCTTTCATTATGTTTACTATAAATAGATGTATTCTACCATTTCCTGTGAAGCAAGAGTATATCTTTAAAGACTAGTTATTTGGCATAAGCATTAATAAGTGTATGAGACACTAGTAATCACATTTTTTCAAAAATGAGATATATTTTCCCATGGCATAGAGGAAGAATTTTGGCTAATGAAGGAGAAAGGGTTGTGTGTTTTTTCTCTCTCTCCTAATGCCTTTTATAAAATACTAATGATGAAGACATGTTTGACATGCTGTGAAATGCATTTTTGTAATGTGAAATTTCTGCCTTTTGTCGGAGATGAGACCAAGTCCCCAGAGGATTTTAGAATTTGTAAATATAAAGCTATCTTCCTCCATGGTTTCATGCCCCCCTTCCCTTCTTTTTTAAAAGGCTGGAGGAAAACCAGATTACTTACATTACTATAATAGATTTGATGACCTCTGACTCCAGCTGCAGAGAAGTACATTGAATTTTTCATTACATCAGAGGATGCGGAAAACCAAAACATAGAAAAGCAGGCACTATTATTTCACTCAACGCATAAGCATGCAAAATATTTCCCCACCCAAAGAATCCAGATTGGGGGGAGGATAGTTGCTATTACATGTAATATCTCTCTTTGTACAGCTTTCAGATTAATGTAGCAGTGCTAGTTCATCCAATTTGTGCTGAATTAAAAAATTTGTCTTTATTTTTATAATTTGAAAAGAGATAATCTTGCTTTTCATAGTCATTGGGTTTAATCGGAAGCTCAGTTGACAGCAAATACTTCCCTACTGTTTCTGTTCTAGAAAATGCTATTCTTGTATTATTCTGGGGAAGGGAAAGAAATAAAAACCCTGTACTGTTCAAAATTATGTTCCCTGCAGAAGGATTATCATTTAATTTAGAACTGTTTGTACATCCTCATTATGTTAATTACCCTATAAATAATGTATTTTCTTAATCTGAAGGTATGAATTGTGCTTATAATAAAGCTGCCCGTCCTCAAAATGTCCAGCTACTGGTCAAAGGACATTTAATCAACTACCAAGCTTGCAAACTTTGTGTTTTGTTTGTTTGTTTGCTTGCTTGTTAAAAAATGCAACGCAACTGTTTGGTCTGTCCCTAACACGATAAAAAGATCCTCAAAATTCCCAGGTTATTGGGGAGTAGATGCAGTGGCCCTCTGCCCCCTCTATTACACCCATCCTCTGTCAGAATTCAGATTGGGATCACTGTGGGGACAGATTTTTTTTTGAAGGGTTTTGTACACTTTGTTTTTATGGCAGTGTAAAAACAGCAGAAACAATGGTTGCATCCTGTTCTCCATTTCTTAATTCTTTCATCAGACACCATGGGTCCCTTCTCCCCACCTTTTCTTTCTTGGGGAGGGATAAAAATTAGTTTTCGCTTTCTGTAAATTTTAATGAAATGCCCCCGTTTAATCCACAGAGATGTAGATTTAAACCCTCTGCTGAGTGACAGCTATTTAACACATACACGCACAAAGTCTCAGCCTCCTGATTTCAGGTGCATTGCATTCAGGGGAGGTATTTTTAAAACGTGTAGTGTGGCATTCATTCTTCCTGTCTTGAGCAATATTGACTTACACTTGGCTACATACACTGTGTGTGTGTGTGTGTGTGTGATGTTTTAATAGTACATTAACTGAATGTTCCATAAGCTTTATTACTCTTGTACTCTAACAGCTTTTAATAATCAAACGATAAGATCACGTCCTGTGGGTAATTGGGTTGTACCGTGACAAGGCATTTGAATGGCAGAGAAACCAATCCGCACTCGGTGAAAATTCGAGCAAATGCAAACCTGACTGTCGTGTTGCAATATTGTTCATGTTAGGCTTTGCTTTAATCCTCTAAGCTTTATGGTGTTATAGTCACATATGCTTTCTTTTGAACTTTCCTCTTTTAAAAAACAGCAATGACCTTGCTGTGGTAGAGAAATAGCACTGTGTTGGCATTTATGTAGCAGGGAGAGAAGTCACGGTACTGGAAGCTATCCTTGTGTTGTGATTAAAATTTTACCTTAGTCATGCCTCTCTCTGGATACAAGAAACATTTAATTCCCGATTTCCTGCTGTTGGCTTCAGGCCTTTGGCCAGTTGTGCAAAATGTATTTTGCGGCTGACCCTCTGCCAACTGCTGAGCTCAGTGAAAAATCAACTAAAACGTTTCCTAATTATCTGTAGAGCTAATCACTTTTAGGGGTGCGTATGACCACAAAGAATAATAAACCTTATTTCTACCCTGCCACCATCTCCCCGATACAGCAAAAAAATCAAAGCATATACAACAGACAACAACAACATTATCAAAATGACATTAAAATAATAAAATAATAATAATAATAATAATAATAATAATAATAATAATAATATAAAAATAAAAATTCCAATAGACACAATCACGATAGAGATGACAATGGGCGGGCCACATATTCCGAATAAAAAACAGTTAACAGACTATGATGAGATAAAATAGGAGCAGGACGTTTAAATAAAACACACAGAGTTGTGGGGCAGAACATCCTATTTGGAGGACATGAACTCCATTAGCCAAAAATGTTGAGGGGGTGTAAAGTATCATGCTGTACACCTATTCGCCAAAGGCGCAGTGGAAAAGCCAGGTTTTGAGGTTCTTTTTAAATGTTTCCAGTGAAGGGGCTTTCCTGATCTCCCCAAGTAAAGAGTTCCAAAGTCGGGGGGCCACAGAAGAGAAGTGGCCAGAATTGAAAATGGCCGTAAAAAAATTGATATTTTTTTTAGTGGCCAGAATTGAAAATGGCTGTAAAAAGGTTTCTCAGGAAAGAAGGCTAACGGTGATTAATCTTGTCAGTCCTGGCCTTGTTCCCTTTCCTGATTTAACCATGAGGGTAATCACACAGAATATTTTATTAAAAAGGCTAGTGGTGGTTTAGTATCGTTCTCTAATTTAAAGCCGCAAGTTTCTTTTGAAACATTTGCAGACTGAATATGTAGATTTCAAACGGGCTGCCTGTTCTCATGGCAACCAAACAAAGTCAAACAATCCTTTCTGCAGTGCTAACAACTATTGCCACAAAAAAATGTATTTCGGTTAAATCTGATTCTTTAAATATTTAACACATGGCAGAAAAGAGATAAATATTGCCCTGGATGAAACCCAGCCCTTGCCTCCTCTCCTTAAAAGTCCCACGCAGAGGAAGATGTTTGAGGGCGCCTGAAATATTTGCTGCTTGTAACCGATGAAATTTTGTACTTGTTGCAGATGAAATTGAGCAGCCTCAAGTATGAACAAGACTGTATTTCTCCCCCTCCCTGCTTCTTTCAGCCTTGTTATGCTTCTCTTTTATTGCATAAACATTAACTGTAATGTTACAGTGGGAAGCAAGTATTTGGCAAACTCCATGTTATTTTGTTAAGCCTGCATGGAGAGAGAGAGAGAGAGAGAGAGAGAGAGAGTTTTTTTGGTCTGAGCAGCTGTAACATGTTTAAACTCAGTTTGTAATGGGATCTGAAGACCAATATTCCCCATGGGCATTGCTTAGCTTCATTACTGGATGGCTGCCAAACTCAGGGCTCGAAAGTATTATTCACGCCTCTCTGCGCATACCCATGTCAGAGCATGCTCAGTTAATGAATTTTGTTTCTAATATGGCATAAATTAGGTTTATACTTTAACATAATTTATGTTGCGTTTTATTAAAATGTGAAATGCTATCATCGTGAGCAAGCTAATCCCAGCTCTCTCTCTCGTAGCCAAACTGGTGTTCAAAATCTAAATCAAAACTGCATGCCTCTGAGCTAATTCAGGAATAACAACAAAAACAACAACAGATCTGTATCTGAACAAAAGAGTTTTGTATCTTGAGCTCATGGATTAAGCAACAATTAGGGCAGTCAGATAGTTGAACAGATTAAGGCTGTTCGAAAGGCAAAGTACATGTTCTTCACAGAGCCATTTAAAAATGCGTTTGCCATATTAAAGTTCATATTTTTAAAATCCAGTCTTGCATTATTCTGCCTATGAGTCATCCATTAATCATGTTGTATGCATTAAAAACTTTAATCACTGACTCTGGAACTTAGATTGTAATGCAGTCTATCCCACTTAATAACATTCATGATTCCTCCCTCAGCCTTTTTGGATCAGGAGCCGCATTGTGGAAATAAAAGTAGTTGATTGAAGTACTGATTATTTCTTTTATTCTTGCTATTTTTTCCAAAGCACTTTTGTACACTTCAGAAGATAAAGTTCAACAATTAAAGTTATTTGATTAGGCACAACTTCTCCTTTAAAAGCTATTTTTTTAGAGGAAGAGAAAAAATCCATGAAATGTCCCCTCCAAGAGTCTTCCTTAATTTCTCAGAAAGAGAAAATCGTTGTTAATAAAATTTCTTATAATCTATTCCATTTATTTGTGTGTGTTGGTGGAAAACTTCTATAACTGATCAATTATTTTGTTCTTTAGATTAATCCTGCCATATGAAAGATTTATTAAAGGAGAGGAAGATAAGCCACTGCCTCCTGTGAAACCTCGAAAGCAAGATAATGTCGCTCAGGAGGGGGAAAATAGGATAAAATTGTCTGGAACAAAACGCATCAAAAATGAAAACCAAAAAAGCAAGAAAGAAAAAGACAATGTGCAGAAACGCCAGGATGCATCTGAGGTTGGTTTCATCTTTCCTTTTCTTCTCCCCGTCCTCTTTATCATTGATGGCTTGGATTATACAATGATGCTCTGATCACATACAGTCCAGAAACTGGTTTTTGAGTCAGGATTGGTGTACAAAAACTTTCCTTTCAGATCAAGTCCCCATTTTTCTTTTATTGTTCTAAAGTGTTAGGTGTACAAAAAGCTGAAAACTTCAGTACATGTGTGTTACAATTGTAAAAGCACCTGTGCAAATATGATATTGGCTAAACATCCTAAAGGCACCAGATCCTGCCTGATCTTAGAAGCTAAGTAGTATCAGTTCTGGTTAGTGTTTGGGTGGGAGACCACCATGAATATCACATTTTTAGGCTGTATTTCAGAGGAAGAGACAAACCTAGAGAGGAATACTCTTTGCCCGAGAAAACCCTATGCGGTTGGCTTAATAGTATTCTGAATAATATTATTAATAATACATTTTTATTTATATTCTGCCCTATCTCCCCGAAGGGACCCAGGGCGGATTCCAATCAGAAAAAGGCAAACATCTGTGTGTACATATGCACACAAAAATGACACACTGAGAAAAAAAGTCTATCCTTACAAAACTTGAATGTTAATATACAAATAATTGTTCTGATGCCATATACAGGGTGAGGCAGCATAACTTCCTTTTTTAAAATGCGCGCCATTGAGTCGGTTGAAGACGTAGCGGAGCACTAATGGTCTCGTTCGAGAGGCGGGAGTATAAAATTTTGTCCTGACACAGTTCAGTCGCCATCATGCATTGGAACAGTGAGGAGCGTGCTTTTGCCATTGAGGCCTACTTTTCGAACGGATTTGGAGTGGCCGGCCCGCTCTCCAGATTTGGCCCCTTGTGATTTTTTTCTATGGGGTTTTTTGAAATCCCTTGTTTATGTGAACCGTCCAAGGACGGTTTGATTTGAAGACCAACATCCAGGAAGAAATTGCCAACATAACACTTGCTATGCTGGCAAGAGTCATGACAAACGCCAGAAATCGGTTTACTCAGTGTATGGAGAATGGGGGGATGTCACCTACCTAATTTGATCTTCAAAACTACATAAAACAAAACTTTAGGTATGCGCCTACATTATAATTTTTTTAAAAAAATTCTGATTCATACAATGGGTTTTATTAAGTTTTGAAAAAAAAATGAAATTATGCTGCCTCACCCTGTATAAACATATTACACTTTTAAAAATCTAGGAAGAGTTTCTCAGACTGAAGAACAGAAGTATTAACAGAATCATGGCATTTACAAATATGGAAAGCACTAAAATACTAGATAATACTGCCATGTGTTTGGGTGTATTCACACCATAAAATTACATCGGTTTCAAAGCACTTTAATAGTTCTGGACCCATTCTATAAAAACCTGAGGTGGATAGATTTACAAGAGACATAGGCCCTTCTGCACTGTCATATAATCCATATTATCAAATTGTCTGATTTGAATTGGATTATATGAGTCTACACTGCCTTATAATCCAGTTCAAAGCAGATAATCTGGATTTTATATAGCAGTGTAGATGGGACCCAGGAACTCTCAATAAGAAACTTCTAAGACTGTAAGGAATAGCTTGAGATCATTCTGCATCCTTCATGAGATTACAAATTGTAAACTTCAATAGTATGGAACTGTGACAAATAAAATGGAATCAAAGTGTTCAGTGTAGATGTATCTAGCAGCAAGATGAGGCAGTGGTATCTATGTTTGCCAGGGCAATATAGGAGGTCTATGCTGCCTGTAATAACAAATTCCCAAAGCCTTGGCCGCCATTTCCAAAAGCATTTTTAGCAGTTCACTGGGAGACTATCCTTGGACTAACCAGCCCTGAGCTCTTCTTATGTAATATGATTATTTAGTCATTGTTTGTAATGGCAGCCTAAACCCAGTTTTTCACAGTCACTGTTGAAATGGTAAAATTACTGATCAACATTGACTTTTTCCTGTTCCTTTTTGTTTTGTTTGTGTGATTGTGATGGTGGTTCAAGTGACTGTACAGTTAAAATGGCAAATGATCACATCAGAATAATCTCTAACAGGCCATTCTCAGTATCTTTTAGATCAGTGGTTCTCAGCCTGTGGATCCCCATGTTTTTTTGTGTACAACTCCCAGAAATCCCAGCCAGTTTACCAGCTGTTGGGATTTCCGGGACCCATCTGGTGACCCACAGGTTGAGAACCACTGTTTTAGATGGCAATTTTGCCTTGTGGGAGCAGTACCATTAAAGCTACCATATAATATAATATTGAAACAGCTGAGGAGGAGAGAAGATTGTCAAGACAATTGACTTGTAAAGTACGAGTTAAGAGAAAGTACTACTAGAAATGAAATGTGGGGTGTAGCAAGTAGTTATTAATAAGGGGATATGACATATTCATGAAAAAGTGTACTTTGGTAGGATCCATTCGAAAAGAGGATGCAGATTTAGAATATATATTCTACTTGGATTTTGCAACTGATAATTTCAGGTTTCCCAAGCATTTTTCATTGTAAATCAAGACATCGTTTGAAAATATGCAGTTCTTAATTAAAATATACATAAAAAGGAGCATGCATATTGGTTTAAGAAACTGAAAGATTGCAGTAGAAATTGCCAAAAGCAAGGGAATTCAAAGTTGAGACTCGCATTCCATTCCTCCTTCATCCCTTTGTGCCTTGTTATTTATTGCAGGGGGGTTTGGATCAGCAAGTTATGTTACATACCATATGTACTGCAATAGCTACGCATGGCATAACAAGCTAACAATGGAGTGTCCGAACTTTGAACGTCCTTGCTTTTGTTGTTCTATATCTCAAATTTCCTGCGTCTTAAAGTGCAATTCTTTTTTATGTGAGCCGTAGGTCAAGTTCTTAGATGGAAAATAGAAAGTTCATAACACAGAATGCACTTATGTGAGCTTCCTATGAGAACATAGTAGTGTATTTCTTTTTTCCCCCTGACAGATAGTAATGGGGATCTTTTTTAATACTGAATTCCCACAATTGATCAAGAACTTTTCAATGCTTTCAAGAATATCTGAGTCGTTACTCCCATGCTCCTCCATCTATATCTTTACCAAACTTGTACAAAAAGATACTAAGCTTGCATTGTGATTTTCCGTTTTAAAAATGAAATCCCCATGCCTAAACAATAGTTTTGGTTAAATATTAAATTTTCAAATGACATTATAAGATATGTGACTGAATTGGGTTACTGGGGTTCCTATAAAAATTGATGCTATGTTAATATAGACGTATTAATATAGCTGCATGTAGTTACGGATAATAATCACATTATACACCAGATCCGTGCAGTTGCAGAGCCTGGTCAACCAAGTAGGAGAATGACATATTTTGTAACATGTGCTTGTTGAGCTAGAAAAGGATCTCTATCTGTGCTATGCTAATAATATAATATAATGTAATATAATATAATATATTGTATATACATATAATATTTGAAATATTATAATGTAATACAAATATAATAATATGATTATAATTATATATTTTATATTACATGTAATATTACTAATATTACAATAGAATGGTATAGTACGATATAGTAATATATAATACTGATATTGTACTATGCTAATAACATAATATATTGTATGTATATGTATGTATCTTGTAAGCCGCTCTGAGCCCCCTGATGACTTTTTCAGGAGCCAATTTCCCTTCCTGGATTAGATTTCTCTCACTTCCTGTTGTTTCACCCCCTTTCTTAACTATGAGTCATTTGTAAGTTGGATGTTTGTAACCCAGAAACTCCCTATATTGAAAAAAGGTGTATCTAGACACGGGAGTACCTTTAATATCTTGTTTAAAAATGATATCTGGTAAGACTGATTTTAAAAGTAGCCAAGTAGCAAACCTATTTTTAAAAATCCTCTTTTCCATGGTCCTTATGCCCCATTGCTAGTTAAGTAGTTCAGGTATCTTTGTTAGAACTACATTGACAATCCTTCCCTGCTCCTTGCCATACTCAAGAGTTAGTGATAGTTGGCATTGGGTTTGGGGTAAGTGGCATGATAGGGTTCCCCTTCCTGAGTTTAGATACAAATATTATAGCTGGTGAGATATCAAACTTAATTTGAGAAGCACTGTTTTTTCACTGTCCAAAGCTTCAGAGTCGCAGTCACTAGAGCCTCAGGCATTGAGGATCTTCCCCATCCCTCCTTCCCCTTACATTGGCAGCTCTACAGGCAACGTCATGCATTACAAGCTGAAAATATATGGTGGCATTCAATGTAAAGATTATATTGACCAACACACACTTAGGTGCCTCAATTGCTAGACCTGTTTCTGGCTATATTTGATGTGCTGATTCCAAAAATTGTACCAGTTTCCCCTGATCAACTCTAGTATTTGAGATATAGCACATATGCCACTAACAGTCTTCACCTGCTCACCCACAGAAAATCATGAGGTTCTCGCCCAACTTACCTGTCCGAACGCATCTCCTCCTATGAACCAGCTAGGGTGTTAAGATTGTCTGGGGAGGCCTACTCTCGGTCCCGCCTGCGTCACAAGTACGTTTGGCGGAGACGAGAGACAGGGCCTTCTCAGTGGTGTCCCCTCGGCTGTGGAATGCCCTTTCTATAGATATTAGATCGGCCCTCTCCCTGTTGACATTTCGGAGGAAAGTGAAGACCTGGTTGTTCGAGCAGGCATTTGAATAGGCAGTGCAACGGACATAGGAATATGGAACAAATGGACAATGAGACTGGATCTTGATTTTAACTATGAGACACTAATGAGGTGTTTTATTGATTTATATTGACTGTATTTTATGCTACTGTTTTAAATTGTTTTTAACTGTTTTATGATTTTTGAGCATTGAATTTTGCTATTGTTAACTGCTCTGAGTTGCCCCAGGGCTGAGAAGAGGGGTATACAAATATAATAAATATATATATAAATATATAAATATATAAATCTAAGAAACTAGAGCTGATTCCGTTTATCGAGTGCAATTTTCTGAATCAGCACCCCAAATAACCTCAGGAACAGGTCTAAAAACTAAGATGCCAATATTTTTTTTTGTTGGGTTACGTTATTGATTCTTTTCCTGCCTAAAAATAATCCCAAGGGCTGCATCAAGAGTTGCTCTTAAATCTTTCTTGACTGGCAAAACCAGTTTTCCATGCTTGCAGTTGCTGTTAGGGCCGCAAAGTCAGTACAACCCTTATTCCTGGTAAAATAACCACACACCTCTCTTTATTATTAAGAGCTTGGGAAGAAAGGGTTTTTTTTTTTAACAACTTGCAGAATCTCATACCAGCATGGCCACTTGACATTGAACTGCATTCATTCAAAAGCTTGCTGTCGTGCATATTTTCATACAATAATAATAAGTTATTGCAAGGTAATTTCTTCCGCAGTGTAAGCATTGAAAATATTATTTATTCAGTTATACTACCTGGGGAGTTTTACACATTTTAGCTGAAAAGTAACTTTTTCAATCTCTGCTGGACTTTCTGCTTTTGTGAACATGGGGAACGTGCTTAAATCAAATTGTCTCATGGAAGTATGCTCCCAGTGGTATGATTTCTGCTTCCTGTATTCTAAGAAATATATATATTCTAAATTGGTTTTTAAAGACTGAACAACTTGCATTTTCTATTTAAACATTGAGAAGAAAGGCTGTGCTTATAATGATTCATCTGTTCACTCAAAAATGATTATGTGAACTGACGGTTAATTGGTTGCAGTTCTGGTTTTTTTGCACAACACTTGATTCTGTTTTGCTGTTATGACTTTGAGTATAAAATGAAATATTGTGCTGTAACATATCTGAAAACTTCAATCATAATGGTTCCAAACAGGAAGAAAAGAGAAAGCCGGACATCTAGTTATTAAATATGAGTTTTTCTTGGTCTGCTTTGCTCATCTGTCTGGTATTTTCCTGTAATTGTATAAGCTCTGGAGGCCAGTGATAGAATTTTTTGCAAAGAGGCTAATGATGGTATTTGGACTGCAAAAGGCATATTTTAGTGTAAGTTTCTTTGTGGGGGGAAATATATGGAAGCAGTCACAATGAGTAACGGACACTTTAACTAATAGGAAATAGAAAAACCGAACACACGGGAAAATTTAAAAGCAGCTGCAAAGACATAAATCTTGTAGAAGATTGTGATTCATTGGCTGCCTTATATCCATCTCTCACACAACACCTTCTAATGCAGTGTTTAGATAATAACTTTCCTGATGCCTCCTCTTGAAGGTGGAATAACAGCAATAATAGGAGAACTCAGACAACATTGCTGTTTTATGACTGCTTTCTATTAAGAGCTGTGCCCAAGGAGAATAACAGTAATTTTGAAAAGGGCTGTCAGTCAGCTGTATCACAGATGGAGCCCTCTAATGACCTCACAGGTCACAGTTCATTTGTCTACATAATGGAATGACTAGCCAGAACTGAGTCCACAAGCTTTATTAATAAGGGAGTGTAAAGAAATCCAACCTCATTGGCTAAAATTTAGGAAGGCTATATGTGGAAGAGGGCAGAAATGCTTTTGCTGCATGTTGACAACTTTATTTTAATCTCTAAGTTAAGAGGCCCCTGCTGAACTGCAACACTGATTGCTCCGAACACACACAATGATGCTTCAACCATTGCATCTCTCCTCTATCCCTCTGAAATAATTTTCAATATTTTAATAGGGATTTTTAATTTTGTATGTATTGATTTTAGAACTGCCAGAAGATTACATGTAAAGAAAGGGTAAAAGACACCAAGTAAACAGTTTTCTTGCATTATATATAAACAATAGTTTTATATATCTTTCTAGGTTGTGTTGTGAACACAGGCATTTTCCCCTTCATTAAAATACGACCCCAGCATAAATGCTGCCTTGTCGGCATATCACCAGAACCTCTTTCATGTATCCTGATAGTATATTTTCTTTAATGTGACATACTGTGGTATTAAATAAGTGTATGTTTTTCTATTTTCAGAGTTTGTGACAGTACCTAAATTGCTAAGCCATTGAATTTCAACACTGTGCCTGGAATATTTGTTCCTAAGACACACTGCTATCTCGTTTTGTGGTGGAGTTAAGGGAATCTGCTTGTTTGTTTGTCGTTCATTCTACAGAGTTGTCTCACAGTTGTCTGTTGAAATGTTTTATTAGGTTCCATCAGAACAAGGGAAGGATCAAGAATGCCCAAACCAGAAAAACCTATCTGAACTGACAACAGCAGAAGAAATGAAGCTGTCTGCAGAAGGGCTACAGATTTCTCCAACAGATGCAATTGGGACATCTTTGGAAATGGCTGATGTGAAGGAAATCGACTCCAGTTATGAGGAGGCCAAAGAGGAGATGCTATCTGAGGAGTCTTTTTCAAGCACTTCACTGCTTGCAGAAGACGACATTGTCTTGGACTCTACAGCCAGGAATCTCCTCAGTCCATCAGAAGACCAAGAAGAGCCAAAGCTGGAACAACGTGCACCTTTTTTTGCTGACAATCTTGAAAGTGACACCCAAGAAACTCAATTTAGTAACTTCCCCACCATCCACCTACCACTGCCAAGTCAAAATGATATGGAAGATGATAAACTTCCAGAGATGGCAGATTACATTGCCAACTGTACGGTTAAAGTGGACCAGTTAGGAAATGAAGACATACACAATGCACTGAAACAGAATCCCAAAGTCCTTGTAGTACAGAATTTTGACATGTTTGACAGAGTGAATTCAACAGAGAGAGAAACACCAAGTTCCCTCAGTGGTGATCCTAATTTTGGTTACACACCACTTCTCTATTCCAAAGGCAACCCAGGCATCATGTCACCACTGGCAAAGAAGAAACTTCTGTCACAAGTCAGTGGGGCAAACCTCTCCTGTAGTTACCCTTATGGTTCACCCCCACCTTTAATCAGCAAGAAGAAACTGAGTGGAAAGGAAGACTTGCTGTCAAACATGTCCCAAGCTTCTCATGCCCCTTTGATGGACACTGGGGCAGTGAGCAGGCCCTCTGTGATCCAACATGTACAGAGTTTTAAACCCAAGAATCTGGAGGAAAGAAAGTCTGCTAGTGAAACATACAGGCACGAATCACTACTAAAGAAAACAGATCCTGAATGTTGTGACTTTTCCAAGCAGCACCTGAGCACACTGGCTGAATCCTATGCACTCAAGTCAGAAATCCAGGACATGAAAGACAGAATGAATGAAAAAAGGGCCTTGCACCACTCCCATATGCCCAGCTTCTTGGCAGATTTTTACTCATCTCCTCACCTGCACAGCCTTTACAGGCACACTGAACACCATCTTAATAATGAATACTCATCAAAATATCTCCCTCGTGACATGTACAGAGACACGGAAAACATTTCCATGTTTCCTCAGCACAGGCACCAAGACAAACATAGCTTAGCTTATCACCCCCCTTTGCACCAACATGAGAAAAAGAGCCCCATGGAAGCCTCATCAGATGATCAGCCAACAGATCTGAGTCTTCCAAAAAATACCCACAAACAGACTGCAAAAACTCTGGGATCTTCCCTTTTGCACACTTCATTGGGACAACAGGAGAGCAAAAGCATATCCCAGTTTCAAGCCTTGAGCAGCCATCCTCTGAGCATAGAGTGTAACCCCAAAGCCTGTCGGGTTTCTCCAATGACTGTTTCCTCCAAAAAACATGGTGAGCCACTTGTCAGGTCTGCCAAGCCACCAAATTTGAGGAGGATGGAAGGAATGGTCCATCCAATCCTAAGCCACAAAGCCAATGCTCAAACCGTTGGGTCAGCTCGGCCTCTGAAGCGTAGCATAGAGGATTTGGACAAAGCAGTTTCGGAAAAGAAGGTCCGAGCTGTCTCACCCCTCTGTGTACCAAAGGACATCCCCATGAAAGACAAGGGTCTTGAGCAAGAGGCTGAGAGCAGCAAATCTGTACATGGCCTACCTCCCAGTGGGATGCTGGAAGGCCACAAATTTCCCCTTTCAAGCCCTATCTTTACTGGCTTATACCCAGGGACTTTATGCAGTGGCCTGAGCAGCCGCATTCAAGCTGGTTACTCTCATCCTCTGCATTACTTGAAAAATCAGACAGTGCTTTCACCTCTAATGCAGCCTTTGGCTCTCCATTCATTCATGGTGCAAAGACAGTTCCTTACATCCCCTGGAAATTCGCAGCAGCTTTACAGGCATTTAGCTGCAACAACACCTGTAGGAAATTCGTACGGTGACCTTTTGCACAGCAACATTTATCCTTTGGCTGCTATCAATCCTCAGGCTGCATTCCCGCCTTCTCAGCTATCTTCTGTACATCCAAGCACAAAACTGTAAATCCTGCTTTCAAACACAACAAACAAACTACATTCCTTTAGCCTGTGATGTCTTGCGAGATTTAAAACAAAACCAACAAAAATATCAATATTTGTGTTAACCAACTAGCGGTTTTGTGGAATGCTTCAGTTTTGATTAAGACAAGGCTGTGGTTTAGTTGGGCTTCACTTTTCTCCTCTGGCTTTCATGTCTGCTCCTTCTGTGGTGTTTTCCCATGCACAAGAAGGATCTGTATCTTGCTCAAAATGAATGTGAGAGCAGACCAGGTGGCACATTCCTAATCTTGGAGAAAAAGATCTTTATTATTTGTCCCTTCCCCCGCCCAAGAGTGTGGGTTTTGGAGCATTTCAAATAGGAAAAAAAAGAGGCAGGTCTGATGACAGAGAAGGTAGGAAACACATATGATCTATGGATGTTGTCTCTTCGGGTACCATTTGGGTTCCTGGCTTCTCAGAGCTCAAATCAATGCAATGTACAGTAAAACATGTCAATATTCAACTTAACACTATCAGAACAGAAAAAGTAAACACTGTTAAATTAGATTGTACATATCTATTTCAAAAACGAAAGAAATGCCAGTGTCAACGTCACTTGTATAATTGATGTAAATTCTTGTTTCCAACTATTCTTGTTGCTCTGTTTTGTTTGTTTTTTAAATTAAATAGTTTCTTTTTATCTGCAGCTTTTTTGGTAAAAAAAAAAGGCTCTGGCAATTGAGGGCTTTCAAAAATTGCATTTCCCCCATTTCCTTTTTCCTTGGCTTATATTTTAGAGCAGCTTTGGGGGGGATGTCATTGTTTACAAAAAAAAAGCATACATTTTCAATGAACTTTTTCAATGTTGGAAGCATACTGTAGATCATACAATGGTGCAATTCGGTTCTAAGTATAGTTCCTTCTGCAGTGACCTGATCCTGAAAGGTGCTGAGCATTGCTTCACCCACCACAGTGGTTTTCAAGCTGTTTGTACATGGCTGTTTTACTGACTGCTGAGATTTTGCTTTCCTCACATCATGGTCTGTAAATTTGTTAAGGATTGTTATTTAACCTTATCTAGGCTGTGAGATTGTCCTGCATACCAGAGGGGGAATATATTCAGGACTGCACTGACAACAAGTTATTCAATAACATTTGAATGCAGGGGATCTTTCTTGTGTGCTTGAAACTATTTCAAGAATGTCAGCCATTGAAATAGATATTAGAGAGGGGGATAAAAAAAGATGGCCTGAAATCCGTGGTTCTAAAGAAGGATCTGTGGAAAGAGATTGAGACCAAGAGCAGAATATAGAGTTTTAATTGTCTGAGCAAATTTGACTGTGTATTGTTTATGCTGCCTCTTTGAACTTCAGCAAAGTGCCAAACATCCCACTGTGATCCAGCAAATTACTATACAACACATGCAGATTACTATTAAGCATGAACAGCAGCTTAATTTACAAGCCAAAGCACTTGGCTCCTGACTTTTTGGTTCAGTTGAATTCTTTTACAGTAAAGCTTGGGCATCTTGTCATTGACTCTGTAGAGAGTGTTCCTGCAGAAAGCCAGCCTCATTTCAAGAGTGATGTTTGGCTAGTGCTCAGAATATTTCAGAATTCAGACAGTGGCAGAAAAATTTGGAAAATAATTTTGAAAGGGCAAATTTCTTTTCAATCAAGGAAAACTTTGATGGGCCAACAAATGCAACTCCATTCATTGATTCCCTCCTGCACAAGCAGGGAGAACTTTGGATAAAACATCTCTCCTTATTTTCCACTATGTATTTATCGTGTCAGGAGCAGACCAAACAGTTGCATTGCATTTTTAAACAAACAAACAAACAAACAAAACACAAAGTTTGCAAGTTTGGTAATTGATTAAATGTCCTTTGATCAGTAGCTGCCCACTTGGAGTGCCTCTGGTGTTGCTGCAAGAAGGTCCTCCATTTTCCTCTTATTCTGATGTTATTGGCAAAGCATAGGTACTTTTGACACTCTGTCTGCCCTCATGTGAATAGCAAGGTAGCATTTCCACTTAAGTCAACTCTAGTTTGCTCTTGTTTTGACTTGTTTGTGACCACCTGGTGTTCAAAGGGAGAAACGCCTTACATTGCCTGCTGCTCATATTGAGGGAAAAAGTGGCTGAAACAACCATTTGCTTTCAGTTTTTATGCAAACAAACACAAAATAGTCCATGTAAAAATGGATCTTTAACTACATTTTAAATGCATTTTATAATGCAGTGCACATTCGTAAATGTAATTTTCTTCAAACCAATTTTAAATGTTTTGTCTCATAAAATGATTATTTTTTTAAAAAAACAACCTCACACATTTCATCATGAAATGTGTGCATGAATTCCAAAGAATCATTTTGTCCTGATTTGCACATTCATCTCAGAAGCATGGATAAAATCAGCTCATTCTGGATTTTGAAAACAATAAATTCTGGTACAAAATGCCTTTTTATCCCGCTTTGAGTGGTTGGCTGGAGGCCTAATAAGGGGAAATGAACCCTCTTTTGCTGTTCACATGGGCAGAAAGACAGAAGAGTATTGAGCAACTCTTGTCTTGTGATAAAATTTATCTGTGGGAATGTGTCAGATGGATATATTCTAAATCAGATGCAATGCTGAAGACTAGATTAAAAACTCACCCCTACCCCCAGCCCCTCAGTTTCCTCGATTTTACATTCCTCTTACATAATGCCCCATCACAATGCCATTTCTCACTTAAAATGAGTTGGCTTTCAGGTGCTGCAACGTCCTTGGTTCTGTTCAAATTATGTAAAGGATGCCAGTTTACACTGATTGGAAGTAGTAGTATGAATAGTATGGTCCATATCAATCTCTCCCCTTGAATTTCTGGTTTCTACTCCCCAAAGGAGAGTAGACATTGCCTCTTTGGTGCAATTGCCATTGAGGAGCTGGCACAAGGAAAGTGTGATGCAGATGGAGTCCTTTGGTCTTCCCCCCTCCCCAAAATAAAAACCCTACAGGCAGCCATGTATGACAATCACAAGATACCATGTTAGAAATGAAAAATTCATGGGAAACTGGTCATCCTACAGTAGAACTGATTTTTAAGACACTTCATTGCTATGGCTCTTGAGGTATGGACAGTTCCGGAGAGAGGTTGAACTTGGAAGCATTATATAGTGTGTAAATTCTCTATGATCAGTATCCATCCAAGTTGCAATTCAAATTCAGTGATCATGGAAACCAAAGGAAATGAGTGGAAACTACTCAAACAACACTGTGCATGCATGCCAGACATCCTATATTAACATTTCCTGTGATATGAAGCCAATTGCAATATCTAGTGTAACCTATTTAATATACAATGGTGAGGAAACCAGATTAATACAAACCTACTGTTAAGGATCAATGTTATCTTCAATTAAATGCTTTTATGTCCTTGTGATAAAAATATATGAACTGATGATACATACGCAGGCTAGTAGAATTTAGAATAGAAATGTGCCAATGCAATATTTTCTTTTTCTTGCTGTGCTGCAAATATTGAAAAGAAGGAAAAAAAAAACAATCATAGTTTATCAAATGCCATAAAGAAGGTATTGTTAGTCAAATTGCACTAAACCTGACTAATACGATAATTGAGGGGGGGGGGGACTTGGGCAGGATTATACAGGCCTGCAATGAATATTCTCGCAATCGCATGACTGGTATTGTAATCCAAGATCTCTCATTTGTTTGGGATACTCTGCATGTAGGATGGCCTGATGGTACCTCTTATATTAGGGGATGCTCCTTGTTTTAGAAGGATTGCCCCTTGCTTTGGGACTGCACAGGTTTGTAAAAAACTCTTCTTCGCCCTCATCAAGGGATTTACCGCAAGCAAAGGCAGCCCCGATTTGTTCAGAGCTCCCACCCTTCTCTCCTCATTTATATAGCGAAGATGGAGCTCTACACAGTCCTTTTCCAAATCTCACAGTTCTTTTTTAAAAGGTGTATTGTCTTTGGATGTTTGATCTGGTAACCATAATCTGTTAAGTCTTAACCTCATGTATGTCTTCTGCACATCTCCAATTTCAGCTGCATTGTATCATTTTTTTTTCTGAAAAAGATCAAATTATTCTGAAACATCAGGGTTAATTAATTTTCCCCTTCTTTTGTTCAGTAGAAGAATGGGTTTGTTTTAGAAAACCCAAGATAGACTGTCCAAGATGAGGGCAACAGGGGCATAAATCTGTGAGCGAGTGGGGGATCATAATGCTTAAAGACCTTCTTTTTAAAAAAATTCTATGAATTTTATTAAGTATTAAATTTTCCACTGGCAGATAACTACTTTCTGTGTCTTAAATGGCGCTTTGTTTGCTTTGTTTAAGTTCAAGGGGCCTTATTATTGAATGAAATTGCACAAGTTTTTCTTTGTGCAATCAAGCCATTGTTATTGGTCGGCTGGTAAAGGAAACAGTGAAATCTAATTGGCAACAGAGTAATAAATCTATTTACCAAGAGCCCATTCCAGGAAATGTTGTAATTCCAACACACTCTGTTCAGGATTTATTAAAGATTCTGAAGGCTAGTGAGATTACAAAAGACAAAGAAAAACATGTTTCATATAAAGTCTTGTTAGAAGCTGTTCACTTTATCGGGATTTGGGGGGGAGGGGGCAGAGTATTTCGGGTGAGGCCTTTTGTAATTGCTTCCTTCCTTTAATAATCAAAAGAGATAGAGGAGTTCGCCATTGTAATCAATGCCCACAATAAAGCAAAGACATTTTTCTAGCTTGTTGAATTGCCACATGTATCCTTAAGCCAGCATGCAGGGCACATATGTAACTGTGGCTTTTTGGATTCTGTTCAAAGAAGCCTTTGGAGTAGTGCATCAGTTGCCATTCCGATGATTTCTCTAACGCCTCTCTGGGTAGTATGTACATTGGCCTTTCACATTTGCAAGCTTGATTCATTAATTTGATGAACATGGGTTGTTGTAGGTTTTTCCGGGCTATATGGCCATGTTCTAGAGGCATTTTCTCCTGACGTTTTGCCTGCAACTATGGCAAGCATCCTCAGAGGTAGTGAGGTCTTGCCATAGTTGCAAGTGAAATGTCAGGAGAAAATGCCTCTAGAACATGGCCATATAGCCCGGAAAAACCTACAACAACCCAGTGATTCCGGCCATGAAAGCCTTCGGCAATACATTGATGAACATGTTCCCCCTAGGAATCTCTAGGGTCTTCGGGCATAACTGTGCTTAATGTCCATCATAGAGTTGTTCTAGAAGACCTACAAACTCCTAGGGAGAACACTTCCCTAGGCCTTTGTAGATCCTCCAGCTTAATTCTATGATCAACCTTCAGCAGACGGTTGTGCTGGAGGACCTAGAGATCCCTAGAAAAATGTTATCACATAGAAAAATGTTTATTATTATTTATAGTTTTTCCACTCTTGTGTGGGTCTTGCAGTCCAAACCCCAGCAAAAGTGGAGGCCTGAGCATACATATTTGTGACCAAGAGAATGCTAGAATAGTTGGTTATGTCTTTGCCCCAATGTTTACATTACCCCAGAATATAGTGTGGTTGTCCTTCATAGAGACATCTGACCATGCTATCAGCAATAGTCTCCTGTGGAGTATGGCTGTCTCCTGGTTGGTATGTAAACAAATAACCCAGCCCAACGGTATCAATGGACCCAGAGCAAGTCACAAGTAACTTCCAGAATCTGAGAATGGCATGGTCATTCCATGAATTGAAGTCCCCCAAAATAACTTCCCAATGCTCTGGTATAGAAAACACTTAGGAATGGCCTAGGAGCAAACAGAGAGAAGGCTGTGGCCATCCTAATTCTGTGTGGCATTGAGTAGGGAGCAACATTACGTTGAATATTTTGTTCAGTAATAGTGTCCATGAACTCTCAAAATCTTGTTGTATACTGCTGTGGGGCTAATGAATGGCAGAAACATTTTTGTGGTTGTGTGCCTTTAAAGGAAGAAGCTGATTTTTAAAAACTCATTTATTATTGCACTTGCTCAAATTGTGCAGCAGTGAGCATAGTCAAACCTAGCCCCTTTTCACAATTTGTATCACTTACAGTGGGGGTGAAATCACTGACATGAGGTTTGCAGTATTGAAACCATTGTCATAAGCACTTAACCAGTGTTTGCTGTAAATGTATTTGATATTTTACATGTATCCCCCCCTAGTTTTAAATATGATCTAACAAAGGCAGCATAATCTACTAGCTGTGTATACTTTCTTTCAAACCTTCATTTGTTGTAAATAGTGTAAACATTCTTGTGATCTGAGTTATTGTAGGTTATATGCTCCGTAAGGTGACTATTTGTATATAGAACAAAGTGGCCCAGTAATATTATAGCTTCCCATTTTTAAAAAATAAAAATAAAAGGGTTATTGAGTAACCTTTCACATTAAATAAGTTTAAACACTACCAGAAAGAAAGAAAAGCTGAGCCAACTATAAACACTCAATTTTTGTATGTTTTCCAAATTGTACGTATTACTGCTTTTGATACTGTATTATGTGCCAATAGTTTCCCAATCACATAGCAAGCAAAAGATATTTTGTACTTTTTGATTCACTGTAATATTTAATAAAAAATGTTATTATCTGTCTCCTGTTGTGTTTCATACATCTGTAAAGAGTTCTTTTATCCTCCAAGGGATTACCAATGCATGCATTCAGTTTTTCAGTTTTGCAGAAATGTATTCTCTAGAGGACATAACAGTTGTCCTCCAAATGTTTTTTGGACCTCAACTCCCATGATCTCTCACCATTGGCTGTGCTGACGACGTTGCCAAGAGTTTTCATCTTAAATCTTGAGAGTCACACTTGCCAACCCTGTTCTAGAGAAGGGCCTCTAAAACTTCTCTTCTCGGGACTCCTTTTGTCTCAAGAAATTTACATTACCTCAGTTATATCTATAAAAATAAAAATGTAATGTTCGTTTGTGGAATTACCAGAACTCAAAAACCAGTGGGCCAATTGACACCAAATTTGGATAGCATACACCTAACAACCCAATGTATGTCCTTCACTCAAAAATTTTGATTTTGTCATTTGGGAGTTGTAGTTGCTGGGATTTATAGTTCACCTACAATCAAAGAGCATTCTAAACTCCACCAATTATGGCATTGAACCACATGTGGGATACAGGACTCCCATGACCAACACAAAACACTAGAAGGGTTTGGTGGGCATTGACCTTGAGTCTGGGAGTTGTAGTTTACCTATATCCAGAGACCACTGTGGACTCAAATCAATCAAATCAAAATATTTATTTCGGTCATTGACCAGCACAGGAAATAGTGTCACATTTCCAGACAAACCTGGCATGTTTGGTACATTAAAAATATAAATATAACTACTAAAAACACAATATGGGTGAGGGAGCAGAAGAGGGAACAGGGTAAAAACATACAATGCCCAGATCCATCACCAAATTGTAGATTCAGGGAAGAAGATTACTGGACACACAGTTGACTTTTGGAACTAGTCATTCCCTGACGGATTTTGTATGCTGCTGCACAGAACTTTGCGACATTGTATGTTGTAGCTGAATTAGTATCTGCCAGTAGCAGGGAGGTATAAAATTGTCCTGAATGGCCTGGGTGCTTGTCTATCAGAGGTAAGATAAGCCTGGCACGGATATCCCTGTAGAATGGGCACTGAAGGAGCACATGTGGACTCAAACAATGATGGAACTGGACCAAACTTAGCACAAATATCCCATATGCCCAAATATGACCACAGATGGAGTTTGGGGGAAATAGACCTTGACATTTGGGATTTGTAGTTACTGGGATTTATAGTTCACCTACAATCAGAGCATTCTGAATCCCACAAACGACAGAATTTGGACAAATTTCCAACACTGAACCCCCGTGACCAACAGAAAATACTTAAGGCCATCCAGTCCAACTCTCTTCATCAGGGCAAAAAAATGTAATCAGAGCCCTCCTGACAAAGAGCCATCCAGCCATAGATATAGAGAGATATGATTCACACACACAGAGAGATATAGTATCATAGATTTGAAAGGGACCCCTAAAGAAGGACTATGATATGTTGCATATTCCAGAGTAGGCAAACCAGACAATCTCCACGTCAACGATGACAAACAACAAGAAATACTGTTTACCCACAAACATAAAGAAATTACATATATTAGAATCCAACTCTTTCTCATTACTTTATTTTCCAGATCACCAGACTGGGCCACAGCAACGCATGGCAGGGGATGGCTAGTAGATATATAAAATAGGGAGAAATATCAAACATTTGTATTTTCAAGGTTTGCTAAAACAGACTGATTTTCCCTTTTATGAAGTACAGCTGAAGTATCTTCTGCAGACTCCACTGTAAACATATTTGTGTCAATGTCCTAAACAGGCATTATGTGACGTTCAGAAAACTTTTACGGTTGCCAATTTTTGGGACCCCAACATTGAACTTAGGTACCCCATTTGGGGCCAGGACCTGCAGTTAAAGAAGCAGTGTCCTAGAAAACAGGCCCCTCCCTTTAACTACCATAGGATGGAAGAAATGTAGTTCCACAAATTATCAAGACACAGAGAAGGCACAAATAATAATAATAATTATTATTATTATTATTATATTATATTATATTATATTATATTATAGTTTGCTTACATACAGTTATTTTCTCAAAGGAAAGAATGGGGATTTGCAGAGTGCACATATTAGACAGAAAAGCTTTCTTGGCCAAGAAAACTTTAAATTATATGGGCAGAAAAGATGAGTTGTACTTCTTGCATAATTTATGCAAATATGGCTTATTCTGCACAATCAATTATGTATATTTGCTATTTTGCATAATTTATCTAGGTAGCTTATGCTTTTTCTTCTGGCTAGCAGAAATGTCATTCAGTAAGAGGCGGTCTTCCTCAGCACAGTGGAAGAGGACATACATTTGCATCCAGAAGATCCCAAATTTAATCAATCACAGTCCATCTCTGCTGTGAGATTACAACTCCCACTATCCATAACCATGTTGTTTAGAGCAGGTGGAGTTCATATTCTAATATCAACTGGAGGGTCCAAGGCTTCCTACAGCTAGCCTATGATCTCTCCAATAGGACCTGGTGGGAAAGTCTTTGGACAGAAACCTTGTGCATGTCAAAGGAGAAAAAAAACATTGGATAGATGGATAAAGTGTCTAGTCTGGTAGGAAGTGGCCATCCTAAAGTATCACATTAAAAAGATGAATGCTAATTTCGTTGTTGCTAGATGAAAGCTAGGATTTGTAAGAAACTGATTTTTGTGCCGAGTATCAGATTCTTCGCTACTGCAAAATCTCAGCATACAATCTCCCACATATACCCAAAGAAATGAATGTTAGAAAATCAATGCATTCACTTGTTAAGAGTGACGATCAGAAATAGTTAAACAGGGCATATTTAGGGGTGGGCCTCCATAGGTTGTTGCTCAGCTCGCATCAGTGTTTTTCATTTCATTTGTTGGACTGGATGATGATGATGATGATAATTTATTTCTATCCTGCTGTATCTCCACTTGGGGACTCAGGATGGTTCACAACAAACAGTAGCAAACATTCAATGCTATAAAGTGCAATCAAAATCAAAACAATCACATACCACCCCCCTGCTATGCCAGCTCCACTGGCTGCCAGTCCATCTCCGAGCCCAATTCAAAGTGCTGGTTTTGACCTATAAAGCTCTATACGGTTCTGGCCCAGCTTACTTGTCCAAACGCATCCACCCCTACGTCTCACCTCYTAATTTTAGATCCTTGCTCATGCTCCTGTCAGCAGCACAGATGCAGCTGGCGGGGATGAGAGACAGGGCCTTCTCGGCTGTGGSCCCCACCTATGGAACACACTCCCAAATGAGGTAAGATCCGCTCCCTCCCTCCTGGTTTTTAGGAAAAAAACTAAAATCATGGTTTTGGGACCAGGCCTTCGGGCAGTAGAAGTAAATGTATGCAGCATTTCGGAAAGACAATGACTGGAACGGCGATTCGACGGACGAGACTGTTTTATTGTTTTTATTTATTTATTTATTTATTTATTTATTTATTTATTTATTTACAGCTTTTATATTCCACCCTTCCCACCCCGCAGGGGACTCAGGACGGATTACAGTGTACACATTTATGGCAAATATTCAATGCCAATTTTTGACATACAAACATATACAGACATAGACAGAGGCTATTTAACTTTTCCTGGCCGCCAGGGGAGCTGTCGCTTTTATCGTCCATCTGCGACGCTGATGAAGCACTTCCGCATTCCCCGCATGCTTCCCCGCTGGACTGCTTTACTGGAGTCTTCTTTATGGCCTCATAAATCAGTTAATTTAGCCTCCCCACACTTTAAGGTGGTACCTAATTTTCCTACTTGACAGATGCAACTGTCTTTCGGGTTGATTGTTTTATAGCTCATGGATGTATTTTAATATGATTTATGTCTAATTGTAGTGTTTAATTGTAATTGTTTGTACTGGCATTGAATTTTTGCCACTACTTATGTGTAAACTGCTTTGAGTCCCCCTTGGGGTGACTGTAAATAAATAAATAAATAAAACCTATTAAACAACCACAACAAGTAATAGCAAAACAAATTAGGCAAATGTTCATTTGTCAAAATTACATTTTTAACAAATAAACATTTAAGGACAAGACCTAAAATTAGGACTAATAAAATATACAATTTAAAAGCCAACGGATAAGGTTGATGGGTACTGCAGGTCAGCAACATGTCACAAACCGCACACACACACACCTTTTGTACATAGTGTTCTTAGGGTAGAGCTTAAGGAATAAAAGAGTAATTAGAAACTGATCTCCACGGAAGTGTTAAGCTGAATACTTTAAAGAAGGATTTTACACCAGTGGAGGAGGAATGATCCTCCTTAAAGGTTAGTAATAGTACAGAGTCTTACTTGCTTTAAATTTCAACTAGTTAAAGGCCTTTCTGGAAGCAATGGCACCCAGGTTCCTGATGACACAATTCCCCACATCTGCCATAATGTAACATGCTAATATTGAGCCTTTTGAAATATGAATGATGTGTCATGTTTGCATAATGCCTTCCCTCTTAGGCTCTGAAATAACACAGCAAATCTTAGAAGTGCTATGAGCAGGCAGTTGATCTGGAGCCTGAATAACATTGACTCATCAATGACTTACTAAGAATCCATTAAAGAAAAGCCTGTCTCATATCATGATGAGATTAATGTGACATGCCCACATACGCTTAATAAGTCTAATAGCACACTGCAACATAACAAATATCTCCTGCCTTCATCAAAGGTCTGAAGAAATGTACCGTATATACTCAAGTATAAGCCGACCCGAATATAAACTGAGACACCCAATTTTACAACAAAAACTGGGAAAACGTATTGACTCGAGTCTAAGCCGAGGGTGGGAAATGCAGCAGCTCCTTGGTTCACTGAGGAGCTGGCAGCGATGAAGCGAAGGAAGAGGGAACTAGAGAGTGTGTGGCGATCGGATCCGAACGAGCCAAATCGAACACGGTTTGTGTCCTTTTTAAGGGCATATGCCGCGGCAATAAAAGCCGCAAAGAAAACTTTCTTTGCGGCCACTATTGCATCTGCAAAGAACCGTCCGG